TAGACTGTTGGCTATGGTCATTTTGGAGTTAATTACTGCCATCAGCTATGATAAGACTGTACCTTAGGCCTACCAGATTTGACCCTTACGGGGAGTGCGTTATGATCACGATCGTTTTATAAGTGCGTCATAACAGTTTGTTTGTGTACTCGTAAATGCTCGTAACTAGTAGCTGTTGAGTTAAACCGCTGAACCATCCAGAAATCTAGTTTGATAATTCGGTCTTTCAGTAAGGGTCCATGTAGCAAATGGGCATGAAATATTCACTTTTATGCTGTTTCTTTAATCTTTTTTTTTTTTAAATGTTATTTAGTTCTCTATGCAGTAATTCTGCTAACCCTTGAGTTTTATTAATCTAGAATAGTTTCGTCAGTTTAATAACAGTTGAAGTTGTGTTGTGCAGGTAAAATAGAAGTTGAGAAGCGTATTTGCACGGCATAATAGAACTGCTGAACAGAGTTGTCATTTATCCTCAGTTTAGGCACTTATGGATCGAGAATCAATTCGAACTTTCTGCAGAAGCGCAAAAAGTGTCAAGGAATTACTTTGTCTCATCGACATGGAAGAACTGTATGAGTTTTTCGCCGCCCTAAATATCCGAGATATACGCGCTTTAGTGCAGGCCAACGAGAATGATTTTCAAGTGTGACTGATTGCTGCGTTTTCGTTTTTATTCTTTTTAACGTATAACATTTCTCTGAACAGCTTTCTGAACATGTGTTTTTTCAAACGTGGTCGTCCTTCTAAGTGTTTTGTTTTCTGGCCTCCATATTATTTTGTCATTTTTTATATGACAGCCCCTGTTAGTACTTTAATGAGGTTTAATAAAGTGAGGATGCGTTTCCAATATCAAAAAACTTTATGCTTTCTCGCTCGTTATGTTTTGGAAGTTCTATTTTATTTAGCACTGGTTTCAAAATCCTGGTTCTTGGAGGAAGTTCACAGAAGCGGTCAAAATTCTGCGAGAAGAAGTATGTGAAGTCAATGCGGCGACTGATGTTGGATGTGTTTGCAAGGTATATGTTTTCCTGCATCAAACTGTGAAATGAAGCTTGGGGCTGACTCGCTTAAAATTTCTAGCTCAATTCGTTAAATGGAGAAGACCCAGGCGATGAACATAAATATGCAGGAGGCGAGCAACAAAACCATGATTGTCCTATGATTTCAAAAGATCGATTTGCTGCCATGAGTAATTTCTCTGGATCTGCAAACATTTTGAGCAGAGACGAATCTTTAGAAGATCCGCACGGTGTTTCTGGCAAAACAGTCAATACATCGGTTGTTCCTAAAATGGTCACTTTCTAAAAAAAGATATTCTCACAAATAACCCTCGCAGTACTTGTTTTGTTGCAGTATTTACCAGAAGTCTTTAGGAAAAGCTGCAAATCGGTGAGGTTGCGTCGAAAGGAAAAAATGTTGAGGAAAAAAGCGTACAATGTCATAATCGTGATATACAGTGTGATTGTCGTAAAGGTAACCTATATTGTAAAAGCTAATGTTTATTGTATTACAGTTAATTCAGTTAATCTCTTTTAAAATAATGCTTTTCATGTGTGGTAGACCAAAAAGTAATAGATTTTTTTAAATTTCTTACTATCAAGTTTCATCAGTTTGAATGTTGCTTTGAATTAACGTACTGATACCCAAACGTTTCAAGTGTACTTCAGACCTAAATCCGGTGAATTTTGTTCGCTGGTGTCGCATGTGCATCTTCTCTGTAATCGCAGTTGCGATTTGAAGGGAGAAGTACACCAACGAGTCAGCTAAGCTGTAGTCTTTAGAGTTGAGGGGTGATGTGTCTTTTTGGTGTTTTTGGTAAGAGACAATCCGGTAGTGTTTAGGGGCAAAGTAATAGGCGTCTTTTTCTTTAAAAACAGAAGCATATTTATTTTTTATTGTGGAGTACTAATTCCTTCCCATACAAGGAAGTTTTTGGGCTGTATGGTCTTTGATTTTTAAAATACATAAAAACAGTTGTTTCAGTGGATGGTAAGAAAAGCTGTTGCGGCCGAGAAAACCAAATCGGCTACCTAGCTCAGGTATGCAAGGTGCAACTTCTTTTGGAGGATTGTTTTATGTAATTTGATGTCGTTATCGAATGTTGAGGAGTTTAAATGTGGTAGTTCAGATAAGTTTGGTAGATGTTTTGCAGAGGCTGTCTAGAAAGGGTCCTAGTGTCCGAAGTGTAAATAAGTGTAAGATCACGTTTCTTTTTTAAAAAATGTTTTTACGGAGTGTATACTTACAGATAAACTATGGTGGCATACCTCGAGGTATGTATGATCATTTTTATGACGGGATTCGTATGGCTGGAGAAAATTCACCTCATGCAGTTCTTTCTCCTCAGTCTGTTAGTGAATTATTTCCACTTTCTTTTTTATGCCACTGTTTTCTTGAAGAAGTATTTTTTAAGGCATTTAGTCTTAATTATTGCTTGAAAGTTCAACTTTTTTGGAAATCAGTTTAATATTTACGCACGTTTTTCTACCAGTCAACCTCATAAAACCATCAAATCGCGTGCTGTTGTTATCTCCAACTGGTACTCACTGGATTGTATTAAAATATGATGGGGGGCTTGTTAGGGCTATATTTCTGATTAATTTCAGATAACTCCTTTCCCATCTGGTCAACACGCATTTCAATTTTTTACTTCACCGCTTAATAGTGAAATTGATAATACACCTCAGTTTAATGTTGGTTCTTTAATGTATTATCCTCCGACATTGGCAAATCTGGATGTGAGATATCCAGGTGTAAATGTCGTGGCCAGTAACTGTCAGCTTGCACCTCAAATCTCTACAAAGTGGGTTATTTTTTTAGTTTATCAGCTTCACAACATTTGTGTAGCACAAAAGAAGCTTCATACTAGTGTGACATCTCATCATTTACTTGAGTTTTACTTTTTAGTGCGGAATGTAACTTTGTCAATCCTGATAATGTTTACCAGCCATGTTCCTATTTTAACAACTGTAATGCGCTTTCACAGCAGGGTTTATACTGTTATTCGCCTCTTGGTAATATTGATAATGGCTTAACTATTAACAACACTAAGGCTGCATTTACGTATACTGGCGCTTATGGAACTCCTGTCTGTAAACCAAACAGTTTGTAAGATTCTAAACGAAATTTTTTATTCTGTATTTGCTTTATTCAGACCTTTAGCATACCCTTCCTGTTGCTTAGTTTTCACTGCTTTTTAATACATCATCTTTAACGATTTCAACTGTTATTAAGCCATATTTGTTAGTTTCGCTTTCTAAGAACCACCAAGTACTTACGGAAACGTTGGAAAAAGATGAATGGATTGTTTTGTTAGAAATGAATCTGAAAAAACACTCGTATTGTAGACGTTACTTTCTGCTGCTGAAAGGTCATGGTTTTTTGATCTTAGTTATTACCTTAACTTGGATTATTCTTTAGGTATATTAGCACTTCAAGAGATGGAATACATTCTAATAGCAGTGCCTCTTCTGGGTTAACAAATAAGCCGGTCAAGTCAAAGCCTCAGAACTTCAAGGCAGAACACACAGGGAACCAGTATTTCAAGGCCGAATCAGGAAAGCTTCTTCCTCGTCGTCTGTAAGTGTAAGCTGTGTATACCAAAGAGTTATCGAGTTTTCGTTGCACTAAAAGTTGTGATTCTTTTGTTTTAATTCGTCATTCTTTATGCTTACATCTTTTTTGAAAGTTGGCTGTGTTATTTTTATTTGCCTTTGTAAAAGAACAAACTTCTGTTGCAAGTTCAACTGATCACGGCCATTAAACCTGAATTTGCATTTGAAACCCAGAATTGGGGTTAATGTTCTTTTTCAACAGTAACTGCACAGTTATTTGTTGCTCTACTACATTTGTATTTTGAACCTTTTATTTTCATACTTTACTTTTTTCTCAAAATTTTAACTTTGTCTTATTTTTTTCACGTTATTTTGCAAACATATTCAGCATTGGAAACGAACAATTTCTCAAGTTTTATAATTTTAGTCAGCAGTTGTCAAGTTTGTACCGTGTATAACGTTCTGCTAGTTTCTGAAATAGATTTTGATAGAGTACCACCATTTAAGGAACTTTGTTAAAGGAATCAGAGATACATGAGCTGAGATGTTTGCGTCTTTTGCTCGATACTACTAAGGAAATACTCGCGGGTACTTTTTTTTCATCTAATGATTACCCTAACATTCATCTTTCCTGAGTCACTCCATGTCTGATATGCGATTTTGGTTATTAATTGAATTGATTTCGGTGATCGTACAGCTGAATGTAATACTTGTAAACTTGATTGGTTAGTACTCGTTTTTTTTTCATTCGTCTTGTCTTTGTAAAAGATTCATGTTTGTTCAGCCTCAACGTTTGTTTAATAGTGGCGTTCTGATAAATTTTTTCTAAAAGTTTGGAGTTAAAGTGTTGTACGTACAAGTTTACAAATATACTTGTTAAGCTTTCTGATGAAATTCTGCTAATTGAAAAGAGGTTGTTGGTTTCAATAAGAAACAGCCATACTTATTACGATTAGTGTTTGTTAATTTTATTGGCTGGAAGGAAAGTGGGGTAGTTAGAGCGAAAGAGCGCAGGTCTCGAAGTTTCTTACATAAATCTTGTTTAGGCGACTCTGCAGAATTCAAAGGGCAAGGGGGGAGGAAGTTTCTCAACTGTAAGAGGGTTTTTTTGAAGTCACACGAACTTATTCCTGGTGATAAGACAGAAAGTATTTCTGTACTGCTTGAAAGAATTCGTTTCCATGAGGACTTGTTTGGCTGTAGAATCTTTGAAACTTAATCGCTGAATGAGTGATTAAACAAAGCCCTCCGTTGGTGATGTCTAAAACTAGAGCTCGCTTTTTCAAAAATCAAGAATTAGCTTGTTGCACCACATTTCTAAACGAGAGAGAAAGTGGTTAATGGTTTTAGAAGATTTATCGGAGAATAAATTCTTTCTAAATATAAAAAAATATGAATTAAAAATGTATGTGAAGAAGATGCCATTTTGAGAGCAGAAGCATTTCAAAAACAAGACGTTCGAAAACTAGAAACGGTTAGAGGAGTTAAAAAGGCGGAGCTTTGTAGAGAACAGCAAAGGGGCTGTGTCTTGTGGCATGTAACCTACCGTTGCTTTTAATTGCCTCAGCTCGCTCAATAATTACCAAGCTAATTGACTTCCTGTACTGATCTTTTCAAACGTTTTTTGAAATATTTTCAACTATATCCCTTAAATCTTAAATACGAGGTTTTTCTTGTTTAGTGTCTGACATCCTTCTAAGTTACTTTGCTAACATTGAAGCCTAAACTCTTAGCATACCAGTTCAAATATTAAACTGTGAAATGAAGAAAGAAGGATAAGAAATGTTTTAAAAAGTTGAAGAAGGCAATACAGAAGCGGTGGATGGATGGATTTAGAGGAAGGTATGTATATGCACGATTCGAAATTGGTTGGGAATTAGGTGTGATTGGTAGTACGGTGTGTTAGCATAACTGTAAAGCTTTAGTGTTTGGTAGTGTTATGTTGTATCTTTAGGGATGCCACTGTGAGTACGCAGGTAAATTTGATCATTTTTTTGTTGCTTGCTTATTTGGAGGGTTTAATAGATAAGCACTGAAGATGGGTCTATGCTTAATAAATAGTTTTTTTTTTTTCTGGAGAGGAACGTGGTGGCATGATTGGCATAGATAAATGCTATAACATTTGTTCCTCATTACCCTGTTGTTAACGTTCTATACAAAAAAAATTTTATATATTTTTGCTGTAAATTAGCATCTGATTAAAGTTTCTAAACAACTTAGCAGTTTGCTTCAATCTTGATACATCTGAAAAACTTTTTTTTTTTTTTTTTGTGCGTTTAGTCTGTTGTTTCACAGTTTCTGTAATATAACTTCGTCTGCTTTTGGTTGGACATCTTGGTATGTTTTTTTGTATTTATTTTAACAACTTTTTTAAACTGGACGTTTCAAATTCTTTTAAAGGCATTCAGTTTTGAGTGTTTTCGGTGATATCACAAATAAAATCCAAGAAAGTTTTTTTATTTTGTATGTTTTCTAACAGAAATTTTTTTATTTGTAAAGTGTTATCACTGCTCATTTGTTGTAGTCTGCTATAATTATGAAGAAAGTAAACCAGCTTAGGATCAATACTATTTACGGTCACCGCCAGTTTTGGTAAGTATATATTGTCTTTTGCCTACTGAATACTGTAATTGTTTTATACTGGGCTTTTATTATTTTGTAAGTGCTTTTTTTTAAGATTAAAAAAAATAGTTTCTATTTTTTAGCAAAATAATAAATAACTTTATTACAACAATTTCTGCATACGATTTTTATTTATCATTCAAAAGCATACTGAGTCTCATTGAAAACAATTCGTATCTGGCGTAGTTTAGTGCTGATAAATATCTGGTAGTTTTTCATACTTCATAGTTCTTTTAGTGCTATTTGGCTGTTTTTTTCTACAAGGTTTGCTATTTTCACCTCACTTATGGGGTAAGATAAAAGGTTATCTTATAGATTTTTCAAATTATGAATCAACAGGAGAACAAATACTCCTGCGAAGCAAACGGTTTTCAATTTTATAAGTACTCTGTAAACAGGTTTAGTTTTAGGTTGCCAGCAGAGGTTCACATAGCGTATATTCTTAATCTTTTTTTATTTTATCAAAATTTTGTTGCATATATTTTTTGCTTCATATACTGTTACCTGTATTTCAACAGTTATTCAGACATTTATTTTTGGTTATGATGAAAAATTTTAACTTTTTTTTATAGATATTTTTAAATTACAGAGCATTGTTGAAAAGTTAATTAAGTTTATGCCAAAAATAAAATATAGCAGGAAGTTTTGAAAATTTTTTTAGCATCTGTTATAGAGAAGACAAGACTGTGTTTTTTTTTTTTTTTTTCAAGACAGAAATAAAAGGGAAATCTGTTGTGAAAAAAAAAAGTGATGAAAAAGTGAAAATTGTTGAATGAATGAGTAGCAGATAAAAACAAGTTGAAGACATTTTTGTCGAAATTTAATACTTTTTGAAAAATATAATAAAAATTGTACGTAATTTTTTTTTTTTTTTGGCCACTACAACGACCTACCTTGACATCTGTTAATTGTATAATCAGGCGGCGACACACACTGATAAATAACAGATATATTGATGGCGAAATTATTAATGAAGATAGAAAAAATGTACACTTTATTTTGCTGTAATTTACCTGCACTTCTTTTTTTTTTAAATATCTGAAGATCAGTACCAGTTTTTTTTGATGAAAATTTAGACAGTAATTTAGTCTATAAAGTTTAGTGCGAAGATTAAAGAGTTATGAGAGAGGGAGGGAGTGTGTGTGTGTGTGGTGAAGAAACAGCAATAAACAAAACGAGGAACTCTAAGCATTGGCTGTGCGCTTATTTTAAGAGCAGTGTTTTTTCTTCAGTTAAAGTTTTCCAGCTTATCAATGGAGTTTAGTTGAAAATTTAGAAGCTTAATGATGATTCTGAACAAACAACAGATTTTGAATTTTTTTTTTTTGCCTTTATTAATTAAATATTACTATTCAAATTCTAAAAATACACACAGACATTATTTATTGTTCAGAAAGAAAAAAGAAGATTTTCTCATAACTTTTTTCTTAAGCAACAATTCAATTTAACTGCCAATTTTGTTTTGACAATAGTTTATTACAAAAAAAGAGAAGACTTCATAAAAAAAAAAA